AAAAATTAATTTTAGCCACCAGCTTTTGATATAAGTGAACAATGTCCTTATATTATGCAGCTTTCCAATAGAGGAGTCCTTCTGATTTATGAACAACAATGATTCAAAACTGTATTCACATTAAAAAGAGGATATGAAAAACCATAAACATAAGCTTTTAACCTCAAAATGGTTCCCTCAAAAACTAATAATTTACAACAAACACCAAAAATTAAACAACAATCAATAAAATAGATAGCATTACTTTATGACAGAAATATTCTATCTGTGCTCACTTTGTCATGAAATCACTAAACATTTTCAGTGTTCCTGAAAACAACATTAGGTGAGAATGAAAAAAAAATAAATTTGAAATATATTTATTGCCATAGAAAAAACAGATTTATGTAAGCCTATTTCTAGGCCTAGTAAATCCATTTCAATTAAGCAATAAATATCATGACTACAATCTGAGCAGTATTACTGATGATAGTTATGACAGTGTTCAATTTTCAGAGGTATATTTATCATAATAATGTTTATCACCTAGCTCAAAAGGATGTTGTGAGGAGGATTCATTAATATTTATGCCCATTAGTGTTTTGGAAATAACAAGCATTATGTTATTTTAAATTTTACACAACTAATTAAATTAGTATGAGGTTGTAATTGGACCATAAGCCCAAAACCTATTCATTCCACATAATAATAACCAGACTTGGAGAAATAATAAAAAATAGTAACAAAAACATTAGTAATAAGTTGCTTTTTATAAATAATGCTTTTTTACTATATTTACACTCTAAATACCAAGTCTAAGATTTGGTCTGGGTCTTTCTGAGCTCTCTTTGGTCCCACCACTCGTGTTAGAGATACAGGCAGGGAAAAGAGAAATACTGAACTCACCACATGAACCAGGCGAAAAAATAATAATTGAGTGTGCTCTAATTACAACAATGATTAATTCTTTCCAGCTTTTGGGATTAAAAAAGAGCATTTATTTTACTGCAAGATAGGTAACAGCATGTGTTGTATCAGCTGCAAAAGCCTCTGAGCCCTAACTTTGTTCAGAAGCCTTTGGGGTTCGGTTCATGCTAATCAACCAGGATTTCTAAGTGTAATTGCCTTTAACTGGCACAAACAAAATCACAGACACAAACAGCCGGTAATGGGCTGGTGATATTGGAGACAAAGAGCAAAAGTTTTAAGAAGAATCTTGGCAGCTTTAATGAAGACAACACTGCATGACGACAACACTGATTCCTAATAAAGGCAATTAAATATTCACTATTTAACATCTCACTATGTCACTCCAGAAAATAAGTTTTCTTCTCACATATTTCCTCTTTCTTTTATTCCATTACACAAACTGGTAACTGTGGAGAAAGCTGCACAAGCCTTCGTTACTTGTCTCTACTCTTACCTCAATAACAGATGTGCCACAAGATTTAAGGGTTGCTTTGTCACTTGGCTATTCAGGAAACCCCTTTTGGAGAGCAGGGGTAGCCACAGAGGTGCTTCCAGCCCAAAACCCCACGTGTCTCCCCAGGAGGCCCATGGGGAGCCAGAGCTTGCCCATCAGTGCTGGTGGAGCCACGGGCTGTGAGCCTCTGCACCCCCTGTGCTGAGCTGCTGTGGCCAAACCCCATTAACATGCACGTTTTGGGGTCATGAAACCCTCCATCAGAGCCCCACACTCTTGTTTTGGTGAAGGATGATTTGAAATCAAAGTTTCTCTATGGAGGTGTTTATTCCACAGTGCTCTCCTGAAATTTCACTCTGCTGTTTCAGCCTCACCTTGCACCTTGTTTTGGTGTAAAGAAACTGAAAACAAACAGCAGAAAAACTGTGGGAGTATTTTAAGACAAAGAAGCCTGGTGCCTTTCCTGTGACCTTTCCAGAAAAAGAACAAATCTTCTGTGTTCAAGGTTAGAAAAGCTCCCTATTAGCACAAGGCTTACCCAGAATATTGCTGCCTGAAAGATTAAACTTCTGTAAATATAAGCACTGCAAAAAAAGCATTTACAATGAAAGCTGACAGCCAGACTAGCCACAGTGTACCCACAGCAGCCTCACAGCTGTCTGCCAAACTTCCTGGGAGAAATTTATTTTAAGGAACGTGCTTTAATTCATTATCCTTTAAAACGATGAAGTGATACAACAGGAAAACACACATTAGCTGCCTCAGTGTCTTTGCAAAAGAGGTGTCTGGCAGTTCAGAGCTGTTATTCCAGTGTGGGTGTCAGTGCTGTCACCCAGACCAACACTGAGCAGAGATGCTTCTGTGCAAATAAATAGGAAAATACAGAAGCAGCTATTACTGGAAGGAAATGACTTTGTGGCACTTTTCTTAAAAATATTCCGCTTCATTGGAGTGGCACATTGTGCTCTTCTATTTTGATGTTTATTCCTGGCTGGTATTGAACATAGAGGCTGAATCCATTCATTTCAGAATTCAGACAAATGATTAATTCATACTGTGCATATTAAAATATTATACACATATTTAAAAGCAGCACAAATGTACTGTGTAAAAAAAAAGATAAAAATATCTATACTCACAAACAATTAAAAGGCAACGCATCACACTTTCAAATGCCAAAAAAAAGGAAACGATTTCTGATGGCTACAAAGTAAGTATGCAATAATTCCAAAAAAGCTCCTTTTTTGAAATTGTAGAATTAAACTTTAAAGACATGTCCTCTGCCAATAGATCTCCTGAAATTTCCTTTTGACTTTGCAACAAGGACAACTGCCCAAGGCTTTGCTAATCAATTTCTTGTGTTGCAGAAAACAGCATAATTTGAATTTTGTCCAAGAATACAGTTTGAAATGCAGAAATGTGAAGAGCTAACTAACATGCAATTATTTGTAGCCACAGTCTGCATACCAAGGGAGAAGAAAGCTGAAGAAGTAATTTAACAGTTATTGCCATTTTAATACACAGAGCCACCCATCATTGCTTAAGGCTGCAATAACCAAGACTGAACCCAACTACCCCTCTATTAGCACGCTTCAAAAGAGAACAAAACAAAACCCAAAACAAAACAAACCCAACAAAATCTCTTTTCTCCATAAACATGGATCTTAAAGGAATAAAAGAGGGGAATTTGTTTTGTTTTATTTTGCTTCAGGAGCTCTTGCCATATATGAATACCTGAACAATTTGCAATGGTCTCTTACAGTGAGAGCCACATCCTGAAATATTCCCAAAGGCCATGTTCCCAGCCTTCCACCCTGGGTTTTCCTTTCTAGAAGAAAATGTGGTGTGATGCAGGGAGCACCTGGCTGTGTGCTGCTCTCTCTTCTCCAGAGAGGCATCTTGAGAAACACAAACTCAGTGTTTTGCCTGTACCTCAAACTCACAGGTCTGCAAGCTCTGACATGCAGAGAGGAGGATGCAGAGGAAGCACATCCAGCCCATCCAGCCCATCCAGCCCATCCCTTTCCATCCCCATGCCCCTCCTGCCACACTGCCCACATCAAGCATTCCTCCACAGCCTGAACACAAAGTCTGGGCTGTAAAAGCCCCCTTAACTCCACTTCTTTCAGATCTTCAGAGTCCTTTCAGTGGACAAAGGTTGAGAATAAAAAAGTTAATTTCTCCTTACTGTTTTTCAGAAATAAAATTTTTTTTCTCTTTTTTTTTTTTTTTTTTTTTTTTTTTTTTTTTTTTTTGAGGGTTTTTTGTTGTTTTTTTCTTTTTTTTTCTCAGTGAAACTGAGGAAGCCTTCCCTCCTCAGGGCTCTTCCAGCTTGCACAGTGCATCTGAGCAGAGTTGGCACAGGGCTTCCACAGACAAAGGCTGATTTCCACTAAAAGAGCTGAATTTTACAAAACATCTCTGGCTCACAAGGCAGGGAAATTTGAGAGAAAGGCTTTTCTTGCTCAGTGACCTTTGGGCTGTCTTTCCCATGTGTAGAAATAACACTTCCCCATCCATCTCTGTCTAGAACTCAGCTAAGCTTCAGGTGAGTGAAATCACACCACCCGTAATTTCCCAGGAAAAATCATTATGAATTACTCCTAAAGTTTCTGATACAGTTTTGTTTTCCCTTCTTCTAAAATCCAGGCATGCTTGTTCTGACTTTCAGAGCACCAAGTCAGGAATAACTCCAAAGATGATAGCAGAGAAATCAGATGAGCAGCAGAGCTAAAATCTCCACTGCCTAAAGGACCCACAAATGTCCATTGGTTAGCAGCTGAAACGTTATTTACATTATGAAAAAACAATTACAACTGTCAGACAATTAATTATTTTCATTTTGAAGAATTTGTGATATTCTAGACTATGGAAACAAAATATATAGGGCTTATAGTTCACCCAAGTTGTACAGCATAGCTATCACTCAAATATTTCAGGCCTTATACCAGCAGAATTGAGAGAGACAAAAATATTATTCATGCAGAAGAATTGCTTCCCCCATGTTTGATTCTTTGGTCATCATTTAAAAATGACTCATTACACTTTTCCATTTTGAAGTTTGATAAAAAAATTGCTGTAATCCAGAACTTAGTAGCAACCTAATGGTGATTTTTTACAAATGATTTATACCTAACCCTCTGAAGAAAAGGATTTATAATGAAAGTGATAGCTCAAGCCTAACTGCAGCACTGGGAATGGTGACACCATAATTAATGTATTATTTCAGTTGTGGGAGACACTGACAGTAGCTTTTTGTTCTGGGCAAGAAATTTATAGGGTGACAGAAAAAGGCACTGTGGAAAAAAAATCACAGAAGAGGAATAGAAATCCTAGTAGCAAAGACATGTCCTTACAATCCCTCTCCCAAAGGCTATAAAATCCTGGCAATGACAGTGTTTCCTCTGTGGTCTAATTTATACCTTTCTCCTCTACTAGATGGCAGTGTGACATGCTCTCAGAATTGCTAAGTGAGGGGGTTTCTTGCTTTGTTTCATAGGAAGCAATTAATTTAAAATATCATCTTGCTGGCATAAAAGTGGGGAAAAAAAAAGTTTTCGCCTAGCTGTGTATTTTGAAATCAAATCTGTTTACTTACAGGTTCAACATCAAAGGCAAATAGTGCATATTCCCTGTCAGGTGACACTTCATACCGGATAGCCTTTAAGGAGACCTGGAAAAGAAATACAGTTTTGAAACAAATGTGCTTCAGGTTTCAAGCTAATAACACCTAGAACTAATTGTTATGATCATCTCTCTAAGGATGAAGAATACTGCCAGAATTAAGTGTCTTGAAAAATATAATATCTTTCTTTTCAAACACCAGAAATGTTATGTGGGCACCCATAAGAGAAAGAATAAATGCATTGTGACTCAGAGCAGGCAGCTATATAAAAAAACACAGAATTTTCCTTACAATCTTACTGCACAGTGGCTGGTGAGGTGGCAGATGTAGGCAGTGGTTGTTAGAAAACTCTGATAAATGGCAATTTATTAATTCCCCCTCATTATCTGTATTCATTGGCCGGTGCAGGAGATCAAAAACTGTAAATAGCTTCTGGAGCAAATTAGTAATAGAGACACCACTACAGCCCCCAATTAAGATAACCCAGAGGAACACTATTCTGTTTTCCCCAGTTAGAAGTCTTTGGGATGCTGCAATGATCCAGTGCACCCTGACCTGGGTGCAAAAATCAGCACTGTAAATCTTGCTAACAAGAAGAAATGCCAGAATATCTCAGACTTGCCAGGAATTACCTTTTTCCAGCTCCACTTTTCATTTGTGTAGTGAAGCAGTTTCTCCTTCCCAATATGTTTCAATATAATGCATTTCTGGCACAGATGGCACCAAGGTCAAAGAGAGGTGCCACTAACACATCACTCATCCACTGCCTTTTAAATCTCACGCTCTCACCTAACAAATGAGATGTAAGTCCTTGAGAGAGTCCCACAGAGCAAAATTGGAAGAGGAATTGGGAAAAACAGAGCATCCCACTGGGAAGGGTCCTCCCCAAGGCCAGTGAGGATGGATTTGCTGTGGGGGAAGCCCAAGGGACAGCCAGAAGCAGAGGGGACAGGTCACCCCATCACAGAATGATTTGGGTTGGAAGGGACCTTTAAAGGCTGTCCAGTCCAACCCCCTGCAGTGAGCAGGGACATCCTCACCCAGACCCCTCAGAGTCTCATCCAAGCTGATCCTGAGCATTCCCAGGTTTCCAGGGAAGAGGCACTCACCACCTCTCTAAGGGGCTGATGGCCCAGTGTACATCAGGATGGGGGAGCCTGGGAACCAGCAGTGTCAGCATGAAGACAGATTTTATGTTAATAACATGGGGAAGGGAATACATGACCAAGTAGCAAAAATTTTCTGCCCCAGGGCTGGGAAGGAAGAGGAAAAAGACAACGTGTCTGAGTAAAGTGTAATGGCAAGCCTTGCACTGGGTTAATGTGGAGGTGACCTGCAGATGTATTTACTGAGAGGGAAGAGGAACAAAGGTAGAACTGGCAGTAGGATGGGAATGGCATGAAAATGTAGGATTATCTTGTAGCACTGTGCTTTTCTTACAAATGGCAAAAATTAAAAACTGGTGGAATAAACGGAGGCCAAATGGAAGCAATTTGACTTCATCAGATCTTGACATTAAAGGAAGCCAGCCCATGCCCTTAGAACTGGAAAGAAAGGAGTTAAACTCTGGTAAAAGAGGATTGCTTATGTGACACAGCATGAAGGTTAAATGCAGTATGTGAAATTTAAGTCTGGGCCCTGCCATAATAATTCAGTGATGAATTCTTTGTCTCACTAAAAATAATTAATACAATTGATGTATGAACTTCTGCCACAATGCTGGTTTCATCTACTACAAAAACCAATGCTACAAAACACTTTTATCACTATAAGCAATACTCTGTATCAGATGTGAGTTCGTTTTCTTTGCATTCATTATAACAGTCACTTACTAACTTCCCACAACAATTTCTTAGGATTTCTCTCAGTTACAACTCCACTCCTATTCCTCAACACTACTCATAAAATACACTGAAGTTGCATTTCAACCATTAGACAAGAAAAACCAGCAAATTCACAAATTAAAAACAAGTATTTGAGTGGAGGAATGTAGAGAATGACAACAGTCAGTAAATTATATCAATTGTCCTTTTTATTAAGCATGCAGAGATGAGAATTGTGCATCTTTCAATTATATATGATATGCAAGACTAGCTGCAAATCTCTATATGATACTTTCCAGAAGTATGAGAGAAACTGAGCTTGCAGAATAATAACAAAAGCTGGAGTTCAATCTCACATTATCCATCACTGCATAGCCCATTGTATTACCAGTGAATTGCTTCTCCTTGACAATACATGAAGTTGAAACTCAAGTCATTTTCTGCTTTACTGATCCAACTGCAAGAGAGCTGTGAAATTCAGCTACTTGCCATAGAAAATACTTACAATTTTTTTGTTTTCTATTAATATTGTTGAACTGTTGGTTTCGACATTCCTCAGAATCACAGTGCCATTCTGGTTTCTATAAATGAATTCATTATCTGCAAGGAGGAAAACAAAAGATCATTAAGGAAACCTGAAATTGTCTGTTTGTGTGGAACCTAATTATGGACTTAAACCAAAAGTACTGCTGGGAACTTCTTTCTGAAGAACACAGATCATTTTTTAACATAGCCACTGCTAAAAGTGGCTTTGAGGACAGCCATAAAACGACGTGGTCAGTGTTTGTCACATGTTTGTTGTGCCACACCTTCCCTTAGATGAATGCAAGAGTGACCTGTTTTGAATGTATGTACACAGCTTGCTATATAGTTAGTGTAGAAAACAAGATTCCTTATGATTAAATAATCATTCCTTATGATTAAAGGTTTCTGAGTTCCACAGTCTCTGTAGGAGTTTAATAAGCCTGGAAAGTCTCTGAAAGTGAAAGGCAAATGACCCTCTAACAAAGCAGATTCTGGAACCTAATATTGTGCTCCAACTCTGACATTTGTTCTGCAGACTTATACCAGAAGGAGAAACATGCAGAGAAATCACTATTTTCACATGAAACAAGGCAAAGCAGCTTGTCTCTGTGCACTTTGGGACTACTCCAGCTCTCAAGACAAGTGGACAAGGACAAAAATGCTGGAGACAGTGTCCAGCTCTCAAAGCACACAACCTGCCTGACAGAAAGGCTAGGGCAGATATATGAAAGGGATTCCAAGTGAGGGTTAGGTAGCAGGTCAAAAGTTCAGGATAAAAAACCATCACAACAATAAAGGGATGTCATAAACTGAAGTTCAAGTCTGATCAGTGCTTACATTCACTGCCCTGCAGATAAAATATAAAACAAAAGCCCCGAGCATTCTGCCATTAAAAGGAACCAGCAGTTTTTCTTGGCACAGGACTAGGGTGATATTTGTTTTGCAACTTGGCTGAACTGAGACTGAGAACTGATGGATCCTACCAAAACCAAACCTCTGCTTCCAGATTCAGTTAGGGAAACAATTCCTCATCACCTACCACAGTGACTACCCCAGTGTTACCATGATGCAACAAGGGCTATGGACATGTGGATGGTTTAACATTTTCCATGGGCTGCCCTGGAATGAGTTTATATCCTCTAGGGTACTTAAAAGCACAAACCCAGCTCACTGTAACTACAGAGGTGTTCACTGCCCAGCTGGGGTGACTGCTAAAGGCAACACTGGGTTTTGAGACTTGGTTCTTTCAAAACTTCGATGTACAGACCTAGCATACTCCTTATCCACGTTTCAGTCTTTTATTTCCAACCTGGTGATGATAATCCTCATCACAGTCACCAACCAGCTTTATAAAGGTGCAGATGAAAAGCTTCTACACTCTACTTATTGCTGTCAATAAAAAAATCTCGTCCTCCATATCACAGATTTACACATAAGTGGAAGAAGAAGAAGAAATCTTCTCTGAGATTGGGATGAATCAGATTCTGGAAGAGCAAATCGTTGCTGCAACACAATTGATCCTCTCAAAACCACAAGGTTTTAGAGACTTTAAGATTCTCAGAGTCCAAATCAGAGCAGCAGCCCTTCAGACTTGCATGCAAAATTCTCAAAGCATAACTTTCTTTTTTAATGATGGAATAAATTTTATCAGCAACTTCTATCTTGGATATATATAAAAAAAATCTGAATTAGATTGACTTGCATTTATCTTTAAAGTATTCCTTCATACAATTTATGACTGAACAAACTAAGGAACTTAAACTTGCGAAAGAACTGACTGAACAGAGCTAGGACAGAAGTCAAAAAAAGTCATAAGCAGTATGGAGAAGATAAATAAGGGATGTTTATTTCCTGCCTGTTCCAAAATAAATACTGGAAGGCACCAGATGACAACCAGTCAGTGTGAGGTTCAACACAAATAAAAGGGATTATTTCTTCATGCTGAAGGCAAACAAACTGTGGAAGTCACAGTCCCAGAACAGAGCAGGTGCCAGGGCTGGAGGTGGGTCCAAACTACAATTAGAAAAATGGAAGAAAAATCCATCAAAGATTGTATGTCTCGAAGGTGAATGCTTTTCAGGAAGGCCATGAATCAGCCATTGTGAAGGACTAAGGGAATATCCTGAATCCTCAATTTGAGAAATTTTCCTTCATTTTAGAATCTTCCCTGAGTATTTGCCCTTGGCCTGGGCCGTAAGCCAGAAGAGACAATCCCTGGAGTCTGATTCAGCAGCAAATTATTTACACCTCTAACTTCTAGCTTCTGTGTCCAGATCCTTAAGAAAAGTGTTTATGCCAACAATTTAGGAAGTAAGGCAATAAAAGATTTAATGCTGTGTAAACACCTGGTCTTTATATATTCAAGCCACAAAGTCTGAAGTGTTATTTGTTATAAGAGGAAAGTATGCAGTCTAAATTTTTATTTTCCAAAAATATTTCAGGCATTCCAGAAATATCAGGAAAAACTAAACTGAGAGACAGACTATTACCTAATCATCAGATATGTTGAAAAATATTACTGCTTTAATAATAACCCTCTGTCAACAACACAGAATGCTTTCCAATCACACAATAAGTTCCAGGCAGAAAAATCATGTTTTATATGGCCAGCAAAACATTTGGATAATTGTAAGGCTCTCAGGATATTTCCTAATTACAGAAAAAAAACCAAAAAAACCAATGAAATTCACTCCAAGTTCAGAATATAGGTAAAGTCGCTTATAAATCTAACGAGTCTGTGAAGCTGTTTCTTGAACATTGCAGGAACTGATGGAAGTCACGTTACTGCCCATAATGACATTGCTACCAAATTTTATTGCTCCTTATGCTCCAAAAACTCCCACAACATTTTAATAAACTATGAAACTTCAAGATTACATAAAATTTGCTCCATGGTTGGAAGTAGGAGATAACAGACTTTCCCATTATTTGTTAAACCGTAACACATTTAAAATCAGGTGCTAATCCAACACATGTGCTTTTAGAATGCAAAAAAACAAAAGAAAAAGAATAAATGAAGCAGTGCTGATTTCTTAGGGCTGTAAATCTTGCCATTATACTCAATACCACTGCCTAAGTTAATGAACAAAAAATTGTCTGCTTAAGAGAAGAACAATTTGATCTGTGTTATATTCCAAACAAAACACTGTGAGGTTTAGCTGGGTCTTAGTCCTCAAAGGATGACTAATATTCCTGGACTTCTGTTTTGAAATGTGTGATTTGTTCCAGTGCAAGAGCACTTATTTAAATGGGACATACCTCAATCAAAGCCAGAAAGCAATGCAGTGGCCTCTGTCTATAATGAATTCTGTCCAGCAGGCTGATGAGAATTTGCAGCCTGATTTATAGTTGTCACCAGAGCTGATAAAGGTCATCGCTGAATCTCATTTTTTATGTCTGCCTTTCTTTGGGGCTGGTGTTCAGTATAAATGATGCCAAAAACTATAATTTTCATGCATGAAGCCATTTATTCCATTTCTTCAATCTTTCATGCAATTTTTCCATCTGTTCTACACCAAAGAAGTTGTGGATGCCTCATCCCTGGACGTGTTCAAGGCCAGGATGGTTGGAGCTCTGAGCAGCCTGGTCTAGTGAAAGGTGTCCAGTGGGGCTGGAACTGGGAGGTCATTAAGGTGCCTTCAATCCAAACCTCTCTCTAATTTAATGATTCTATAGCAAAGTTCACTTTCCCAAATCCTCACTCCTCTTTCAACTTCCAGGAAGTTGTGATGTGGGTGATAGATTACATTTTCTGACTGTGAATGTAGACACAGATACGTAGTCACACTTGAAAAAAGGTGACTGATTGAAAAAATAAAACCCAATTACCAGAAAGAATGGATCAGCCTTGGGGCTGTACTGTCAGTGCAGAGGAATGGGGAGGCCTGGGGAGAAACTTTTAAAAACCTGCTAAGCAGAACAGAAATCATAAACCCCATCTGCTTCTCTGTCTTGAATTCAGTCAGAAAATGCAGAGGCAGAGAAAACAGACCCAGTGAGAGGGAGCTCATGTCCCTTGAAGTCACTGGGACCTCACCAGGAATAGACTGGGCACCAGACAAAACAGCTCACCACAGTGGACAAGAAGGTTTGGGAGAGCTTTACTTCTAGAAGGAGTAAGTTTGAGTGCTGGCAGTGCAAAGAATTTGAAGGAACTACATCCATTGACAGGAACACAGCATCAGTGACCAAAAATTGAGTGCAGTAAAGCTTCTCTGAAGTCCACATTACCAGAGAGGAGAGGCAGGACCATGTCAGTGAGGGGAACTTTCATTATTTGTCAGAGGTTATGGAAAGTAGACAGCAAAACTGAGTGATAAAATATGAGAAAAAAAACAACAAAAAAATTAAATCCAGCTCTAGAAAATATTTTAATGAAATGGTAATTTTCTATCATTTTAATAACCGGCAAATGAAAAGTAGACAAAAAAGGTTATGAAATTCACATGCAGCAAGTCAGCAGCAAGAGACATTGAAAGAGAGAAGGTAGAGTCAGGACTGTTAGAGCCACTCCAGTCTTTTAGAGCCACAGATTTGGAGGAAAAAGCAACTTCTTAAGTCCTGATCAACAGACATGAAAGATAATTGAATGAGACTCAGTCTTATGAAAGCCAGCATCGAGGGAATTATCATTTTCAATCTCTAAGATTTAGGAAAATTGGTGTATAAAAGGAAAATTAAGTCCTGAAATTGTTCTAAGCCATTTCAGATAAATGAGCCTCCAGACACCAGCAGGATGGCAAACATCTTACAGTGTGTCAGGAGAGCAGACAGCAGCAGGTCCTGTGGGATGAGCCCTCATCCCTCCCAAGGGACAGAGGTCACTTTGCCCCAGGCCACGTGCAGGGATGGAGCTCTGCAGTGGTACAGAAAATGTCACAGGGCCACCAAGAGACCACTGGCACCCTTCTGTTATTCCTCATGGGAGAAAAAGAAAAGCTGTTGTGGGGGTTTTAACGACCCCAAGCAGTCAGATCTTTGGTGTTTCATGTCACATCTGAAGGATGAGCCTGCAGGAGCCCTGCAGCACTGCCCACTGTGGTGCACAGCATCACTCAGCCCTTGGCCAGGCTGAG